TTTTGGGTTGGTTTTGGGGTGGTTGGTGGGTTGTGGGGGGGGGGGGGGGGGGGGGGGTGGGGTGGTGGTGGGGGTGTGGTGGGGGGGGGGGGGGGGGGTGGGGGGTGGGGGGTGGGGGGGGGTGGGGGGTTGGGGGGGTTTTTGGGGGGGTGGTGTGGGTTGTGGTTGGGGGGGGTGGGGGTGGGGGGTTGGGGGTTGGGGGTTGGGGGGGGGGGGGGGTGTTGGGGTGGGTGTTGGGTGTTGTGTGGGGGGGTTTGGGTGGGGGGGTGGTGGGGGTTGGGGTGGGGGTGTGTTGTGGTTTTTTTTGTGGTGGGGGGTGGGGGGTTGGGGGGGGTGGGGGGGGGTTTGGGTGGGGGGTGGTGTGGGTGTGTGGGTGGGGGGGTGGGGGTGTGGTTGTGTGGGTGGTATTTGTTTTTTGTTTGTGGTGGTGTGTGTTTTGGTGGGGTGGGGGTGGTGGTTTTGGTGTTTGGGGGGGTGTGTGGGGGGGTTTGGGTGGGGGTGGTTTGGGGGGGGGGGGGGGTGGGTGGGTGGGGTGGGGGTGTTGGGGTGGGTGGGGTGGGGTTGGGGGGGGGGGGGGGGGGTGGTGTTTGTGTTGGTGTTTGTGGGGGGGTGTTTGGGTGGGTGGGTGGGGGTTGGTGGGGGGGGGGTGTGGGGTGGGTGGTGGTTGTGTGTTGGGGGTTGGGGGGTTTTGTGGGGGTTGGGTGGTGTTGTTTTTTGTGTGGGGTGTTGGGTGTTGGGGGTGTTTGGTGGTGGTGTGGTGGTTGGTGTGGGGGGGGGGGGGGGGTTTTGTGGGGGGGGGGGTGGTGGGGTTTGTGGGGGGTGGGGGGGGTGGTGTGGTGTGGGGGGGGGGGTGGGTGTGGGGGGGTGGTGTGTGTGGTTGTGGTGGTGGGGGGGGGGGGGGGTGGGGGTGTGTTTTGGTGGGGGTGTGTGGGTGTGGTTGTGGGGTGGGTGGGGGGTGGTGTTGGGTGGTTGGGTTTTTGGTTTGTTGGGTGGGTGGTGTGGGTGGGGGTGGGTGGGGTGTTTGGGTGGTGTGTGGGGGTGTTGGGTGGGTGTGGGGGTGTTGGGGTGGTGGGTGGTGTTGTGGTGGGGGTGTTGGGGGGGGTTGGGGGGGGTGGGTGTGGGGGGGTTGGGGGGTGGGGGGGGGTTGTGGTTTTTGGGGTGGTGTTGGGTGGGGGGGTTGGTGGGGGGTTGGGGTGGTGGGTTGTGGTGGGGTGGGGGGGGGGTTGTGTGTGTGTTTGGTGTGTTGGTTTTTGTTGTGTGGGGGGGGTGGGTGGTTGGGGGGTGTTGTGGTGTGGGTTGGGTGGTGGTTTGGGGGGGGGGGGGGGGGGTTTGTGGGGGGGGGTGGGTGGGGTGTTGGTTTGGGTGGGGGGGGTGTGTGGTTTGGGGGGGGTGGGGTGGGGGGGGTTGGGGTTTGGGGGGTGGTGTTGTGGTGGGGTTGTTGTTGGGGTTGGGTGGTGGGTTGTGTTGGGGGTTGTTTGGGTGGTGGGTGGTGGGGGGGGTGGTGGGGGGTTTGTGGTGGGTGGGGGGGTGTGGTGGTGGGGGGGTGGTGGGGGTGGTGGGTTTGTGGGTGGTGGTGGGGGGTGTGTGTGTGGGGGTTGGTGGGGGGTGTTTTTTGGGTGGGGGGGGGGGGGGGGGGGGGGGGGGGGGGGTTGGTGGGGGTGGTTGTGGTGTGGGGGGGTTTTGGGTGGGGGGGGTGTGGGGGGGGGGGGGGGGGGGGTGGGGGGGGGGTTGGGGGGGTGGGGGTGGTTGGGTTGGGGTTGGTGGGTGGGGGTTGGGGGTGTGGGTGTGTTGGGTGGTGTGTGGTGTTGTTTTTTGTTTGGTGGGGGGGGGGGGGGGGGGGGGGGGGGGGTGGGGGGGGGGGGGTTGTGTTGGGGGGGTGGGTGTGTGTGTTTTTGGGGGAGGTGGGGGGGGGGGTATGTGTTGTGGGGGGGGGGGGGGGGGGGGGGGGGGGGGGGGGGGTGGGGTTTTTGGGGGGTGGTTGGTGGTTTGTGGGGGGGGTGGGGGGGTGGGGGTTGTGTGTTGGGGTGGGGGGTTGTGGGGGTGGGGGGTTGGGGGGGGGTTGGGTGTTTTGGGGTGGGGGGGGGGTGTGGGGGGGGGGGGGGGTTGGGGTGTGGTTGGGGGGGGTGTGTGGGTTGTTTGGTGTTGTTGTGGGTGTGGGGGTTGGTGTTGGGGTTGTGGTGGTTTGGTTGGGGTTTGTATGTTTGGGGGGGGGTTTTTTGTGGGGTTGGGTGGTGGTTTGTATGGTTGGTTGTGTTATGTTGGTGGGGGTGGGTGGTGTGTGTTGTTGTGGGGTGGGAGGTTGGGTGTGTGTGGGGTGTGTGGGGGTGTGGGTGTGGGGGGGGTTTTGTTGTTGGGGTTGGTGGGGGTGGGTGGTGTGGGGGGGGGTTGGTGGGGGTGTTGGTGGGTTGTTTTTATGGGTTTGGGTGGGATGTTGGGTGTGTGTGTTTGTGTTGGGGTGGTTTTTTTTTTAGGGTTGTGTTTGGGTGGTTGTGGGGTTGTGGTGTTTGTTGGGGGGGTGGGTGTGGGGGTTGGGTGGAGGGGGGGGTTTGGTGGGGGGTGTGTTGGGGGTGGTGGGGGGGTGGGTATTTGGGTGGTTGTGGTTGTTTTTGGGGTTTTGTGGGGGGGGGGGGTGGGTTGGGTGGTGTTTTTGTTGTGGGGTGTGGTTGTGGGGTGGTTTTGTTGTTGATGGTGTATTGGATTGGTTGGGGTTTATAGTTGTTGGTGTGTTTTATGTAGGGGTGTTTAGTTGTTGGGGTGTGTTGATGATGGAAGGGGGTTATTTTTAGAGGGTTGGTGTTTGTTTGGTATGGGGAGGTGTAGATGTATGGGGTGTGGTGTGTTGTTGGTGGTTTTGTGGTTGTGTTGGTTTTTATGGGTTGGGGAGTTATATGTTGATGGAGTGATATGATGATGGGGGGTGGTTATTGTTGATTGGGGTGTTTTAAATGATGGGGATAGTAATTTAGGGGGGGAGTATGATGATGGGATGGGGAGGTAAGGGGTATGTTGATGTGATTGTAGTTGGAAGGGTAGGTTTTGTTGTAATGGAGATGATGTGGTTGGGGGATGGGATGAAAGTTGTAGGGAGTAATGAAGATGGAGGGGAAGTTGAAGGGGTGAAGGGGGGGGGGGTGTGGGATTGGATAAGGGGGGGGAGGGGTGGTGGGTGTGGATGGGGTTGTTTTTTTGGGTTTGAGGTTATAGGAGGAGGGTGGGGGGGTTATAGTTTGTTTTGTTTGGGAGGGGGGGTGATGGGAGGGGAAGGAGTATGAGGGGGTATGGGGAAGGGTGTGATTGAGAGGGGGGTAAGAGGAGGATTAATAGGTATGTTGGAGTTGGGTATAGTTGTTTGTTTTTTTGATATTGGTATAGATGAGTGGGGTGGGGGTTGGGTGGTTTGGGGGATGTGGTTGGGTGTTTTTGTTTGTTGATGTGGATGTGAGATGGGAATAGAGGAGGGGATGAGAGTGAGGGGTTTTGAGAGGTTTGTGGGTGTGTTGGTTGTGATGGGATGTGTGGGGGGGTGTGTGTTGGAGTGTTGTTTGGTGAGTGTGGGGGTGAGTGTGTGGTGTGTGTGGTGTGTGTGTGGTGTGGGTGGTGGTGTGTGTGTGGGTTGTTGTGGGGTGTGTTGGGTGTGTGAGGTGTGTTGTGTGTGTGTGGGGTGTGTGTGGGGTGAGTGTGGGGTGTGTGTGTGTTGTTGTGGAGAGTGAGTGGTTTAGTGTGGTTGTGTGTGGGTGTGTGTGAGAGTGTGGGTTGTGTGGGGGGGTGTTGTGTGAGTGGTGTGGTGTGTGAGTGGTTGTGTTGGTGTGTTGTGTGTGTGTGGGGTGTGTGTGGTATGTGAGGTGATGAGTATGAGGGTGTGAAGGTAAGTGTGGGAGATGTATATTTATGTGGTTGGTGTGGTGGGTGGGGGGGGGGGGGGTTTGTTTTTGGGGGGGGTGGGGGTGTTATGGGGTGTTTGGGGGTTGTGTGTAATGGGGAATAAAGTGGGTTTTGGTTTGGGTATTGGTATTGGGTTGGGTGTATGTTGGTGGTGGTGGGGATGGGTGGGGGTGGGGGGGTGGGGTGTTTGGGTGTTTTGGGTGGTGTTGGGTGTGTGGGGGTGGTTGGGGGGTGGGTGGGGTTGTGGGGTGGGGTGGGGAAGGTGTTTGGGGTGGGTGGGGTGTTGTGTGGGGGGTTGGTGGTGGTGGGGGGTTTTTGGGGGGGTTGGTTGGTTGGGGGGGTGTGTGTGGGGGGTGTGGGGGGGTGGGGGGGGTTTTTGTGGGTGGGTTGTGGGTGGGGGGAGTGTGGGGGGGGGGGTGTGGGGGGGGGGGGGAGAGGGGATTTTTTGTGTGTGGGTTGTTTGATTGGTGTGTTTTTTTTTGTGGTTGGATTTTAGAATTAGGTTTGAGTTGTTTTTTGGTTATTTGGTGTTTGTTGTGTGGGGGGGGGGGGTTTGGGGGGGATTGGGGATTAGGTGTTGGGGGTTAGGGTTGGGTGGTGGTGGGGGGGTAGGGAGTTGGGTTGGGGTTGGATGTTGGTTGGTGTTAAGTTTTTTTAGGGGGTTGGGTTGGGGGTGGGTGGGGGGGGGGGGTGTTGGTTGGGGATGGGGGGGGGGGTGGTTTGGGGGGTTTTTTTTTTTGTTTGGTTGGGTGGTGTGGTGGGTTTGGGGGTGGGGGGTTTTTGGGTATTTTTTGGGGGTTTGTGGGTGGGTTTGTTGGTTGGTGGGGGGGTGGGGGTTGGAGGTGTTTTTTGGTATTAGTGGGTGTTTGGTGGGAGTGTTTAGGTGTGGGGTGTTGGGTTGGGGTTTGGTGTTGTGTTTGGGTTGTGATTTTGGGGAAGGGGTTTATGATGGGTGTGGGTGTTTTTATAGTGGGGGGGGGAATTGTTATGGGGGTTGAGGTGGGTGGGGGGTTGGGGGGGGTGAATGTGTGGGGGGTAGGGGGGGTATTAGGGTTGGGGTGAGAGTAGAGTAGAATGGGGAATATTATTGTTTGGTTTTGGATGGGTGTTGTTTTTTGATGTGGGGTGTTGGTGTGGTTGGTTTGTTTGTTTTGGGGGTGAGGGGGGTGAGTGGGTTGGGGGGGTGAGGGTGGTTTGAGTATGGTATATTATAGGGGTGGGGGGTGGGGGAATAGATTGATTATTTTGTGGGGGGGTGGGGTGGTGGTTGGGGGGGGGGTGGGTGGTGGGGGGGGGGGGTGTGTAGGGTGGGGGAGTGGGTGGGGTTTGTGTGGTGTGGGTTGTGGGGGTGTTGGGGGGGGGTGGGGTGGTGGGGGGGGGTGGGTGTGAGGTGTGTTGGGTTTATTGGGTGGGTGTTGTGGGGGTGGGTTTTGGGGTGGATTTTTGGTGTGTGGGGGGTGGGGGGAGATGGTTGGGTTTGTTTGTGTAGTTTGTATGTTGGGTTGGGTTGGGTGGTGTTATGAGGGTTGAGGTGGGGTTTTGGGTGTGGGGTTTGTGGGTTTGTGGGTGGTGAGTGGGGTTGTTGGGGGTTTTTTGGTTGTGTGTATGGTGGGTTGTGGGGGGTTGGTGGTTGTGGGGGGGGGTGTATTTTGGTTGGTGGTTGGGGGGGTGGGTGGTTTGTGTTGTGTGGGATTGGGTATTGGGGTGGTGTTTTGGGGGTGGGTTTGTGTTTAGGTGGTGGGGGGGGGTTTGGGTTGTTGGGGGTTGTTTTGTGGGGGTTGATGGGAGTGTTAGTATTTGTTAGGTGTTTAGGGGTTTGGGGAATTAGTAGGGGGAAGGGGGTGTGGGTAGATGTTTTTTTTGGGGAGTTTTTTAGTGGAGTTTTTTGGTATATAGGAAGGGGGGTGGGGGTGTGGTGTGGTTGTTGTTTGGTGTTTGGGGGGGGGGTGTTTGGGTTTGGGTGTGTGGTTGGGTGTTTGGGGGGGGGGGGGGGGGTTTTGTGGGGTGTGGGGGGTGGGGTTGTTGTTGTAGAATAATATGTAGGTTGGGGATGAGTTGATTGGGGGGTGAGAGAGATTATTTTATTTGGTGGGGGGGGGGGGTGGGGGTTTGGGGTGGGTGGTGTTAATGGTGGTTATGTATGGTTGTGGTTGGTGGTGGGGGGGGTTATTTGAGTGTATTTAGAATGTAGGGGAAAGATTTAGAGTGGTTAGTGGTTTTGGGGGTGGTGGGGGGGTTATTGTTGTGTGGGGGGGGGTGGGGGGTGGGGTGGTTGGTAAGATATTTTTTTTTTTGGGGGGGTGGGTTGGTTTGGGGGTGGTGTGGGGTTTGGTTGGTTTGTTGTGTGTTGGGGGGGAGTGTTGGGTTTGTTTGTGGTGGGGGGGGGTGGGTGTTTGTGGTTATGGGGGGTGGATTTGTGGGGTTGGTTTTGTTGGATTTGGTTGTGGTGTGTATGTGTGGGGGTGTGGGGGGTGTTGGGGGGGTGGGTTGGTGGGGGGGGGGTGGGGGGTTTGTGGGGGTTAAGGGGTTTGGTTGGTTGGGGTGGGTTGGGTGTGGGTGTGGTGGGGTTTGGTGGGGGGGGTGGGTGTGGGGGTGATTGGGGGGGGGGGGGGGGGGGGTGGGTTGGTGGGGGTGTTGGGGGGGGTGGGGGGTGGGGGTGTTGTTGGGGTTGGTGTGGTTGGGGTTGGTGGGGGGGGGGGGGGGGGGTGTGTGGTGGGGGGTGGGGGGTGTGGGTGGTGGGGTTTTTATTTTGTTAATGTTTTGGTGGTGTTTGGTTTGGTTTGTGGGGGTGGTGGTTGGTGTGTGTTGTTGTTTGGAGGTGGGGGTGGTGTTGGTGTTGGGGTGGTGGGGTGGTGGGGGGGGGGTGTGTGGTGGTTTGTGGTTTGTGTGGGTGTGGGGGTTGGTTTTAGGTTGGTGTGGTGGAATTGATTGTGGGTGTTGTGGTTTGGGGGGGGGGTTGGGTGGGGTGTATTGGTGGGGGGGTTGTGTTGGGGTGGGGGGGTGGGGGGGGTGGGGGGGGGGGTTGGGGGGGGGGGGGGGGGTTTTTGGGGTTTGGGGGGGGGGGGGGTGGTGTGGGAGGGTGGGTTGTGTGTGTGTTTTGGGGGTGGGGTGGTTTTGGTTTGGTGGTTGGGTGGTTTGTGTTATATTTGGTGGGGGTTGGGGTTATGGAGGGTTGGGTTTGGGGGGGTGGTGTTGTGTGGTTGGGTTTGTGGTGGGGTGGGGGGGGGTGGGGTGTGTTTGGGTTTGGTGGGGTTGGGGTGTGGTGGGTTGGGTGTTGGGGTTTGGGTGGTGGTGGGGGGGGGTTTGGGGGGGGGTGTGGTGTTGTGTGTTGTTGTTGTTGTGGGTATGTGTTTGGGTTGGGGTTGTGGGGGTTGGGGGGGTGGGTGTGTGGTGGTGTGGGGGGGTGTGTGGGGTGTGGGTGGTGTGGTTGTTTTGGATGGTTGTGGGGGGGGGGTTGGGGGTGGGGGGGGGTGGGTGGGGTTTTGGGTGGGTGGGGGGTGGGTTGTTTGGGTGTGTTTTGGTGTGGTTTGTGGGGTGGGGGTGGGGGGTGGGGTGGGGGGGGTGGGGGGGTGGTGGGGTGGGGGGGGTGGGGGGGGGTGTTGTTGGGGGTGTGTTTGGGGTATTTTTGTTTGTGTTGTTATGTTGGTATGTTTTTTTGGGGTGGGGGGTGGTGGGGTGGGTTTGTTTTGTGGGTGGGTGTGGGGGGGTTTGTTTGGTTGTGTGTGGTTGGGGGGGGGGGTGGTGTGGGTGGTTGTTTGTGTGTGTAGGTGTTTGTTATATTGGTTTGTTGGTTTGTGGTGGGTGGGGGGTGGTTTGGGTGGTTGTTGGGGGTTGTGTTTTTGGTTATTGGGTATTGTGGGGGGTGATGGGAGAGTTTGGGGTTGGTTGGATTTTTTGTTGGTTTGGATGAAGGGGTATGTTGTGTTGTGTTGGTGTTGGGGGGTGGGGGGGGGGGGGGGGTTGTGTTTGGTGGGTAGGGGTGGTTGGGGGGGTTTTGTGTGAGGGGTGTGTGGGGGGGGGGTGTGGGGGGGGGGGGTGGGATGGGGTTTGGGGGTTGGGGGTGTGTGGGTTGGGGGGGGGTTGGGGGGTTTGGGGGGGGGTTGGGGTTTGGGGGGGGGTTGGGGTGTTTGGGGGTAGGGGGGTGGGTTTGGGGGGTTGGGGGGTTGGGGGTTGGGGGGTTGGGGGTTGGGGGTTGGGGGTTGGGGGGTTGGGGGGGGGGTTGGGTGTTGGGTGTGGGGGTTGGGGGGTTGGGGGGTTGGGGGGGGGTTTGTGGGTGGGGGTTGGGGTGGGGTTTGGGGTTTGTGGGGGTTGGTGGGTTGGTGTGGGTTGGGGGTTGGGGGGGTGGTGGGTTTGGGGGTTGGGTTGTTGTGGGGTTGGGGGGGGTTGGGGGTGTGTGTGGTGTGTGTGGGTTTGGGTTGTTTTTGGGTTTTGTTTGTTGGTTGTGTTGTGGGTGGTTGTGGGGTTGGGTGTGTGTGGTTGGGTTGTTGGGGTTGTGGGGGTGTTTTTGGGGTGGTTGTTTGTGGTGGGGTGGGTGTGTGTGTTTGGTGGGGGGGGGGGGGTTGTGGGTGGGTGTGGTGGGTGGGGTGGGTGGGGGGGGGTGTGGTGGTGTGTGGGTTGTTGTGGGGTGGGGGGGGTGGGTGTTTGGGTTGGTTGTTTGTGTGGTGGGGTTTGGTGGTGGGGTGTTGGTGGGGGTTTGGTGGGGTGGTTTGGTGGGTGGGGTTGTGGGTGGGTTTGGTGTGGGGGTTTGGTGTTGGGTTTGGTGGAGGTGTTGTGTGGGGTTGTGTGGGTTTGGTGGTGGGGTTTGGTGGGTGGTGTTTGGTGGTGGGGTTTGGGTGGGTTGGGGTTGGTGGTGGTTTTGGGTGGTTGGTGTGGGGTTTGGTGTGGGGTTGGTGGTGGGTTTGGTGGGTGGGGTTGGTGGTTTGTTGGGTGGGTTTGGTGGTGGGGGGGGGTGGGGGGTGGGGGGGGGGGGGGGGGGTGGTGGGGGGGGGTGGTGGGGTGGGGGTGGGGGGGTGGGGGTGTTTTGGGGGGTGTTGGGGTGGGGGGTGGGGGGGTGGTGGGGGTGTGGGGGTGGGGGTGTGTGTGGGGGGTGTGGGTTGGGTGGGGGGGGGGGTGTGGGGGGGGGTTGGGGTGTGTGTGGGGGGGTGTGGTTGGTGGTTGGGTTGTTTTTTGGGGTTTTTTTTTGGGGGGGGGGGTTGGTGGGTGGGGGTGGGGTGGTTGTGTGGGTTGGGGGGGGGTTTTGGGTTGTTTGGTTGTGGGGGTGGGTGGGGTGGTTGTGGGGGGGTTGGGTGGGGGTGTGTGGGGGGGGGGTTTGGTGGGTGTGGTGGGGTGTGGGGGTGGGGGGTTGTTTTGGGGGGGGGGGGTTTGGTGGGGGGGGTTTGGGGGGGGGTTTGGGTGGTGTTTGGGGGGGGTGGTTGGTGGTGTGGGGGGGGGGGGGGGGGGGTGTTTGGGGGTGGGGGGGTTGGGGGGTGGGGTTGGGGTTGGTGGGGGGGGGGGGGGTGGTGGTGGGGGGGGTGGGGGGGTTGGGGGGGGGGTTGTGGGTGGGGGGTGGTTGTGGTGGGGGTGTGGTGGGTGGGTGTGGGGGGTGGGGGTTTGGGTTTGTGTGGGTTGGGTTTTTGGGTGTGTGTGTGGGGTGTGGTTTTGTGTTGGGTGGGGGGGGGGGGGGGGGTTTGTTTTTGTTGGGGGTGGGGTTTGGGTGTTGGGGTGTGTGTGGTGTGTTTGGTTTGGGGTGTTTGTTTGGGGTGGGGGGGGGGGGGGGGGGGTGGTTTGGTGGGGGGGTGGGTTTTTGGGGGGGTTGGGTGGGTTGTTGGGTTGTGGTGGGGTGGGGGGGGGGGGGGGGGGTGGGGGTGGTGGTGGGGTGTGGGGTGGGGGGGGGGGGGGGTGGGGGGTGGGGGTGGGGGGGGTGGGGGTGTGGGGGGGTTTTGGGTGGGTGGTGTGGTGTGTTGTGGTGGGGGTGGGGGGTTGGGGGGTTGGGGGGGGTGGGGGGGGTGTTTGGGGGTGGGTGTTGGGGGGGTGTTGTTGTGGGGGGGGTGTGGGGGTGGGGGGGTTGGGGGTTGGGGGGTTGGGTGTGTTTTGGTTGGGTGGGGGGGGGGGGGTTGGGGGTTGGGGGGGGTTTGTTGGGGTGTGGTGTGGGTGTGTTTGGTGGGTGGGGGGGGGGTGGGGGTGGGTTGTGGTTGGGTTGGGTTGGGTTTTTGTTAGTTGTGTAGGGTTGTGTTGGATGGGGGTTTAGGGATGGTGGTGGGTTTGGGTTTTGGGTGATAGTGTGGGGTGTGGGGTGTGGTTTGGGGGGGGGGGTGGGGGTGGGGGTGGGGTGTTGGGTGGTGGGTGTGGGGTTGGGGTGGGGGGGGGGGGGGTGGTGGTTGGTGTTGGTGGTTGTGGGGGGGGTGTTGGTGGGTGGGTGGGGGTTGGTGGGGGGGGGGTGTGGGGGGTGGGTGGTGGTTGTTGTTGGGTTTGGGGGTGGTGTGTGGGGGTTGGGGTGGTTTTTGTTGTGTGGGGGGTGTGGGTGGTGGGGGGGGTGGTTTGGTGTGTGTGGGTGGTGGTTTGGGGGGGGGGGGGGTTGTGGGGGGGTGGGTGGGGTGTGGGTTGGGGTGGGGGGTGTGTGTTTGGGGGGGGGGTGGGGGTGGGGGGGGGGGTGTGTGTGGTGGTGGTGTGTGGGGGGGGGGTGGGGGGGGGTTTGGTGGGGGGTGGTGTGGGTTTGTGTTGGGGGGGGGGGGGGGGGGTGGTTTTGTGGGTGGTTGTGTTTTTTTTTGGTGGGTGGTGTGGGGGGGTGGTGGGGTGTTGGGTTTGGGGTGTGTGGGGTGTGGGGGTGGTGTGGGGGGGTGTTGGTGGTGGTGGTGTGTTGTGGTTTGGGGGGGGGTGGGGGGGTTGGGTGTGGGGGGTTGGGGGGGGTGGGGGGGGGGGTTGTGGTTGTTGGGTGTGTTGGGGTGGGGGGGGTGTGGGTGGGGGTTGGGTTGGGTGGGGGTTGTTGGGTGGGGTGGGGGGGGGGTGTGTGTGGTGTTTGGGTTTGTTGATTTGTTGTTTGGGGTGTGGGTGGTTTGGGGTGTTGTGTGGTGTGGGTGGTGGTTGGGGGGGGGGGGGGGGGGTTTGTGGGGGGGGTTGGGAGAGACCAGAGAGAAACCAGAGAGAAACCAGAGAGAGACCAGAGAGAGACCAGAGAGAGACCAGAGAGAGACCAGAGAGACCAGAGAGAAACCAGAGAGAAACCAGAGAGAAACCAGAGAGACCAGAGAGAGACCAGAGAGAGACCAGAGAGAGACCAGAGAGAGACCAGAGAGAAACCAGAGAGAGACCTTTCACCTTCACACCAGGTCTTTCTTTCGCTCTCTCTCAGACTCAGGATCTCTTTGTGTTTCTCACATCTGGAGATCATTGGTCTTTAGCGCCGCACAAAGCCCTTGTCCTCACGCTCCTCGCGCTCCTCCTCGGTGTGAATGGGGCTTTGAGACGAGTGGTGCTTGGGGTGTAGATGTGTGTGTGTGCAGATGTGTGTGTGTGCAGATATGTGTGTGTAGATGTGTGTGTGTGCAGATGTGTGTGTGTGCAGATGTGTGTGTGTGCAGATATGTGTGTGTGCAGATGTGTGTGTGTGCAGATGTGTGTGTGTGCAGATGTGTGTGTGTGCAGATGTGTGTGTGTGCAGATGTGTGTGTGTAGATATGTGTGTGTAGATGTGTGTGTGTACAGTAGATGTGTGTGTGTAGATGTGTGCGTGTAGTTGTGTGTGTGTGCAGATGTGTGTGTGTAGATGTGTGTGTGTAGATGTGTGTGTGTGCAGATGTGTGTGTGTAGATGTGTGTGTGCAGATGTGTGTGTGTAGATGTGTGTGTGCAGATATGTGTGTGTACAGATGTGTGTGTGCGGATGTGTGTGTGTAGATGTGTGTGTGCAGATGTGTGTGTGTAGATGTGTGTGTGCAGATGTGTGTGTGTAGATGTGTGTGTGCAGATGTGTGTGTGTACAGATGTGTGTGTGCGGATGTGTGTGTGTGTAGATGTGTGTGTGTGTAGATGTGTGTGTGTGTAGATGTGTGTGTGTAGATGTGTGTGTGCAGGTGGGACAGGGTTAATCAAACTAAAATGCTTCAATGGGAACCAAAGCCCGAGAGCAGCGGCCTCGCAAAACACACACTCAAAGTTCAGCTCGCTGCAAGGACAAGACAGGGGCGGAGCCAAGAGGAGGTGTTAGTGTGGTGAGGTCTCTATTTCTCAAAATTTTAATTTCTCAATTTCTCCATTTCACAGTCTCCAGAGAAAGGCCAGTGAGAAACCAGAGAAGGACCAGAGAGAGAGACCAGAGAGAGACCAGAAAGAGACCAGAGAAAGACCAGGGAGAGACTAGTGAGAGACCAGAAAGAGACCAGAGAAAGACCAGAGAAAGACCAGAGAAAGACCAGAGAGAGACCAGAGACAGACCAGAGAGACCAGAGAGAGACCAGAGAGAGACCAGAAGAGACCAGAGAGAGACCAGAGACAGACCAGAAAGAGACCAGAAAGAGACCAGAAAGAGACCAGAGAAAGACCAGAGAAAGACCAGAGACAGACCCGAGAGAGAGAACAGAGATAGACTAGAGATGGACCAGAGACAGACCAGAGAGAGAGACCAGAGAGAGACCAGAGACAGACCAGAAAGAGACCAGAAAGAGACCAGAGAGAGACCAGAGAAAGACCAGAGAGAGACCAGAGAGAGACCAGAGAGAGACCAGAGACAGACCAGAAAGAGACCAGAGAGAGACCAGAAAGAGACCAGAGAGAGAATCCTCAACTTCAGACAGCTCACCACTAAAACCAGGTCATTCATCTTTTAGGTTTAGTTAAATACAATAGCACATCATTCTGGGCTTCAGCTCCCCCCGAAACCCCCCGGCACCTGCACCGTCATGAATATCCTCTAATGGAAGTGTCCCTGACCTCAGACCCTCAGAGATCCCCAAGTGTCTTTAAGTACGACCTGCAGAACAAAACCTAACTTTATCACATCTCTCCTCAGGCTCAAGTTGAATAGACCTGCTCCGGCCACACACAGACTCAGACCAAAACAATACGACCTCTTTCCACGACTTTGAAATCTTCAGGGACCAAATAGAGACTTAAGAGAGCAGAGAGACCAGAGAGACAAGAGACCAGAGAGATGCCAGAAAGAGACTAAAGAGACCAGAGTGAGACCAGAGAGAGACCTGAAAGAGACTTCAGAGACCAGAGAGAAACTTAAGAGAGCAGAGAGAGACCAGAGAGAGACCAGAAAGAGCAGAGAGAGACTAGAACAAGACAGAGACCAGAACCAGAGAGAGAGAGAGAGCAAGACCACAGCGAGACCAGAATTAGAGAGAGACCAGAGAGAGACCACAGAGAGAGCAGAGAGTGACCAAAGAGACCAGAAAGTGCAAGAGATAGCAGAGAGACCAGAGAGAGCAGAGAACGACTAGAACCAGAGAGAGAGACCAGAGAGAGACCAGAATTAGAGAGGGACCAGAGAGATCCCAGGGAGAGAACGGAAAACGACCAGAGAGAGAGAATCATCAACTTCAAAAAGCTCTCCACTGAAACCTGGTCTTTCTTTCACTCTTCCTTCTCCATCTTGTCTCAGACTCAGGATCTCGTTGTTTTTCTCGCGTCTGAACCTGACTTGGCCTTTAGGAATGGCTCCTGAAACACACAGACTCAGACCAAAACAATACGTCCTCTTTCCACATCTTTGAAATCTCCATCTCTCAATATTTATCAACCTTCTCTGGCCCTGAAGAGACCACGCCCCCTCAGCTCCACCTCGGCACCGGCCCCTAATCTCTTCCCACGCGGCGCTAATGAAGCCCGGTCTTCAGACTCCGACTCTGGGACCAGCGTTTAGCCTCCATAATGAGCCTCTAACACTTTATAGCCTTTACTCTCTCCTTCTCTTTTCATTTTTTTCAGCCGTACATCTCCCCGGGCGACCATTTTGGCTAATTAATTGAAATTAGGACAGATGAAATGCATTCCAACTTTTCTCCTATGAGCACAAGTACCTGGGGGAACGCAGATCTAATTTGGAAACTTGGGGAGACTGGGGGCCCGCCTCTCGAGCTGTGTTAAACGAGGGCTCTTAATGGACGCTAATCTAGAGGCCATTGTTGCGGTTTTGTCCGATGTGATTCATTGTGATGGGGAGTTAGCCGCAGCGCTAGCCTGATTGGTTTCGCCGGAGGAGACTTTTGATACTGGCGGTGCAGGGCCATCCGACTGCATTAGGACTGGGACTGGAGACGACGGCTGCAGATGGAGAGGAGGCCGTAACTCACACAGGAGGAGCAGCAGGGCCAGACGGAAGAGCACCAGGAGGGTCAGACTGGTTTGATACAGGGCCGTCGTTTTGACTGCTCCCAGAGAGAGAGAACAGAGAGAAACCAAAGAGAGAGGCCTAAAAACAGTGAAAGACCAGAGAGAGACCAGAGAGAGACCAGAGAGAAGCCAGAGAAAGACTAGAGAGAGACCAGAGAGACCAGAGAGAGACCAGTGAGAGACGCGTGAGAGACCAGAGAGAGACCAGAGAGAGACGAGAGAGAGACCAGAGAGAGACCAGAGAGAGACCAGAGGGAGACCAGAGAAAAAGAACAGAGAGAGACCAGAGAGAAGCCAGAGAGAGACTAGAGAGAGACAGAAAGAGACCAAAGAGAGAGACCAGAAAGACACTTGAAAGAAACTAGAGAGAAACTAGAGAGACCAGAGAGAGACCAGAAAGAGAGAACAGAGAGAGACCAGAGAGAGAGACCAGAGAGAGACCAGAGAGAGACCAGAGAGAGACCAGAGAGAGAGACCAGAGAAAGAAGACAGAGATCGAACAGAGAGAACATAACTCTTACTCTATTTACACAGAGCTGTCATTTTGACTGCTCCCATTCAAGTCAAAGCAAAACTGAGAAAAAGACGCCTCAGGACCTTTCTGTAGCTTGTCGTCGATTGCACCTGTTCCATGGTTTAAGTTCAAACTGATGAAAAACATTTAACAATATTCAACTACTACAAGACTTTCTGTTGAGACAAACCACATGTATTATTTATGCTACAAAATCAGGTACGCCAGCTTTAATTAGGGCTGAATGGTAAAGTGATACCCCCCCTCTCTGTCTCCCCCCCCCTCCCCTCTCTCCCCCCCTCTCCTCTGTGTCAATGCTCTCCCTCTGGCTCCGATGAAAGACCTTATTGGCATTTACATCTGTATTAGGAACAGCAGCAGTGACCCTGTGTGTGTGTGCGTGTGTGTGTGTGTGCGTGTGTGTGTGTGTGCGTGTGTGTGTGTGTGTGTGTGTGTGCGTGTGTGTGTGTGTGTGTATGAGGGGGAGACTGTTTCACGCTTGTCACTGTGTGTTAGTGCGTTGCTGCTTGGTCTAAAAGCCAGAAAAGCAGAGCAGTTCTAGGTTTCTAGCAACTGTGTTATTATTGTGTATCTGTGCTATTTTCAACAGTTCAATTTATTTTTGTATCGCCCTAAATCACAACAGAAGTCGTCTCCAAGGACTTTACAAAGCTGTCAATTCACCAACAACAGTTCAAACTCAGGAAATGCAATGATAAAAAACACATAGAGCCATTGGTTCATAAGGTCATAAAAATCACCTCTTTCTTCCTTGGTGCGTCAAAACAACTCGGCATTTAACCCGCCTTACGACCTAGTCTTTTAGTGAACGCTCCGACAGAATATAGCGAAAAGTATACGGGAATATTCATGTTTTTTAGGTTGATTCTCACATTTCCTCAGACCCTTTAAACTTTTGGAAGATGTTGTTTACAACCTTAAGGCTCCGTGATTATTATGAAAATGTCAGTTTATTGTCCTGGATCCAAGGCCTCAGTCCTAGGTCTACAGCCTCAGTCCTGGATCTACAGCCTCAGTCCTGGGTCTACAGCCTCAGTCCTGGATCCAAGGCCTCAGTCCTAGGTCTACAGCCTCAGTCCTGGATCTACAGCCTCAGTCCTGGGTCTACAGCCTCAGTCCCGGGTCTACAGCCTCAGTCCTGGATCTACAGCCTCAGTCCTGGATCTACAGCCTCAGTCCTGGGTCTACAGCTTCAGTCCTGGGTCTACAGCCTCAGTCCTGGATCTACAGCCTCAGTCCTGGATCTATACAGCCTCAGTCCTGGATCTACAGCCTCAGTCCTGGGTCTACAGCCTCAGTCCTGGCCTCAGTCCTGGATCTACAGCCTCAGTCCTGGGTCTACAGCTTCAGTCCTGGATCTACAGCCTCAAATCTTCTCAGTACATGTTTTCCCCTTTTACCTCAACACTCTCCTGTCCTCCCTGTGGTGAGGAGCCGACACAAGCCTAAACAACGATCCTCCCTTTCCCGCCGTGGCCTCGGGTCTCCTACACGTGTCCACAAACACGTCTGTGATCAGATTACACGACATTAGCCTCGGTCACACGCTGATCCTCCGCACAACGAGAGAGCGAGGCCCCACATGTAGATGAGGTCTTCAGGGATGGGCCTTCATTCATGACTCAGTGGGACAGGCGTCTCTTCGAACCGAGGGGTGCACTTGCTCACCGTGGAGACAGGATTAAGCCCCCCGCCCCCCCACGTCTCCCCAGACCCCCCCAGACCCCCTCAGCCCGGTCACCATTCAGACCTGTACAGCCTAATCCTGATGAGAGCCAAAGGAGACAAAGAGACGGAGCCTGAATCTGTTTGGACACAAGAGTAATCCACTTCAGCATCAAAGACACACACGCACACGCACGCACACACACATACACACATACACACACACACACACATACACATACACAAACACACACACCGACACACACGCACGCACAGGTCAGATACACACACTCAGTTTTCAAACTTGATGCAGTCTGAAGTAAGGTCTCTCTCTGTCTTTCTCTCTTCTCTCACTCTCTTCTTTCTCTTTCTTCTCTCTCCCCTATCCCTCTCTGCTCTCTACCTTTCGTCTGACTCCCTCTGCTCTCTCTTTCTCCCCTCTACCTCCCTTTCTCCCCCCTCTATCTCTATCTCTCCCTCTGCCCTCTCTCTCCCCTCTCTCTCTGCTATCTCCTTTCTCTCCCCTATCTCTCATCTCTCTCTCTCTCTCTCCCCTGCCCCTCTCTCTCCTTTCTCTCCGTTCTCTCTCTCTTCTCTCTCCCTCCCTCCCCACTCTCTCTCATTTCTCTCCCTTTCTCTCTTATATCTCGCTCCCTCTCTTACCTTTCTCACCCCACTCTCTCTCTCGCTCTCTCTCTCTCTCCCTCCCCCCCTCTCTCCTTTCTCACCCCCCCTCTCTCTCTCTCTCTCCCTCTCTCCCCCTCCCCCTTTCTTTCCTTTCTCTCCACTCTCTCTCTCCTTTCTCACCCTGCTCTCTCTCTCTCTCTCTCTGTCTCTCTCCCTCCCTCCCTCCCCCTCTCTCTCCCATTCTTCCAGAACCTGGTCTATGTCCCAACCCAGATCTGCTTTAATTAAACTCCGTTGTGTAGCTGTTGTGTAGTCGTTGTGTAGTCGTAGCCGGAGTAGGAGCTGGTGTTGCCTTCAGGGCCCTGTCAGGTGTTTGTTTCTGTTTGCTGCACATGTTTAATTTCCTCTGTAATTACCAACTCGCCCCTTTTCAGCTTTAACGCCTCATCTACTCCTTATTCTGATGATTAACGGCTCAATCAGGTCGCGGCGAGCTCAGAAAGAGCAACTGTTGGTGCAGACTGCAGCGTCAGGCGTTTGGTCGGCTGCTCTCGGGCCCTGTGTCTCTGGACGGAACTTATTCACAGTTAAGTTGGTTCTTGTTTGGACCTAAATCACAACATTATCTTGGGGACTACACAAAAGTGGTTACAAACAGGACCCACACCTCCTCGCACTCGCACACATGGCTTCACTCAGCATTTAATAATTGTTTTTGCTTTTCACCTTGGTCCATTTGTGTGTCTCTGTGTATTGCTTAACTTGTTTGTTTTTTTTTTCTTGTCTTTGTTTGATGTTGTGTTCTTGTTGAATGTTGATGTCTG